AGAATACACAGAGCAATGTAAACCAACATTATCACAGTTTAAAACAAAACAAAACAAAACAAAGGAAATGTTGAAAACAAATTCACAGGGCCTCCTTTGTAGCGCAGGGATTAGTCTTAGCACTATCAAGCTATCTCCAGCCACTGCAGCCAGGAACATTTTAGTATGGATAGAGATATCCATACTAAAGGTGATATCGAGACGCCATCATTCGTGCTGTTATCGCTACCCTGAATACTGCTGTCTGTGTATTTCTGTCTCCCTTTACTAGACTAGAAAGAGGACGTGTCTGTTTCCCAGGGACGAGTAGCATAGTGGCTAAAGCATCACTTCCATGTGGCCACCTGTGTTATCTTGGACAAGTTATTTTTCAAGTTACATCTCTCTGTGTCTGAGTGTTTTGTTTGTTTGTTTTAATCAATGCAGTGGAGGAAATATAAACTAAGTCACAGACTTTTAGCTTAAATGAGTTAATATTTATAAAGAACTTAGAACAATGTCTGACACATGGTCCATGTACAAACCTCTGCTCAAGGATCTTCCAAATCCCGAGTCACAACTATATTCTATGAATCCAAGGGCAAACTTTCATTTAGGAAAACTGGAGGACAACAGTCAGGTTCAGGTCACCTGGCAACGGAGCGCAGCCAGCCCAGGCAGGGCAGGGCATGTGTGTATGAAACAGAAAACAGAGTTTACTAAAGCCAGAAAAGCTGCACTGATTTCAAATCCTGCCTCTACAACTAGAGGTGTGTGTTTTCAGCAGTTCACTCCTAACCTTTCTGTGCTTCAGCTGAGTCTTTTGTCAAGGAGGTTCTAACGCAGCTACCACACCTGGGGGAGAAGTCTGGAGCCACAGAACCCTTTAGCATCACCCACAAGGAGCCTGCTATTCTCACCAGCTCCCATGCTTGGCTCACTCACACTCACTCAACTGAGCCAAGTCCCTGCTGCTCTCAGGCCTCTTTTCCCCCTTCTGACATAATGGGGAAGAGAAAAGACAGGTGGCATTAGCTGGGCACCTGTGATGAAGCCAAGAGAGGTCTCTTTCCTTATCCAAGATCCATCAGCAAGAAGAGGAGAGGCCAGACTCACATTCAGCAGGATCTGGTTCTAAATTCATTCCTCAAGCTGCTTTTCCTCAACAGTTCAGTGGAAACAACTGTTGGAGAACCTTCTAGAATAAAGACAGGGTTGAAACTCAGCTATCAGGAACTAAGGATCCCCTAACAGGGACCTCCTGACCGGCTGCAGTGACAGGAAAACACTCAAAGCATCGCCTGGAGCAGCGATGCCCACCGAACGGCCACACTCGGCTCCCCACACCCCCAAATCAATGTCCCCCTCAACTCTGCCCAGGGTAGCGGCAGCTCGCTTGGCGAGAGGATGAACTAACCTGCCCCAGAGTTTGGCGTCCCGGCGAGACCTGGCTCAGCGGGAAGCAGGCGCTCTCCCGAGGCTCGGCGAGGCTCCTTGGCCTTGTCGCTTCCAAGTCCCCTTCACAGCTGGCTGTGTCTTCACGGAGAGAGTCCGCAGCGGGGTGATTTGTTCCTCAGGACTTCCAGCCTACCCGGGAGGCATCCAGTCACACCCCGGAGCGGGCTTTAAAGGAATGGACGCGGGTCACGGGGTAGCAAAGCATTGGCAGCACCTGGGGCCCGAGGAGAGGGAAACAGGACAGGAAATCCAGGGGAAAGAAAGGGGTGGTAAGAATCAAACGTTGCGGGTGCCGAGGAGGTAGTCTCCGGGCTACGGGAAGAACTCTGGAGGCTCCCGGTGCTAGGGCGCAGGGAGCCCTCACCCGTGCCGGGCCCGGCGCCCCAGAGCCCGGAGCTACCTGCATGCACCTCCACGAGGACCGCCCGCAGCGCACACAACCAGGCGCTTTCAGATGTGACTGCGATCCGATCCGGGACCCGCGGGCGGGAGCCTGGGCGGGGGGTGAACCAAGGAAGCAGCGGGTTGGCCCCCTGCTCCCGCTACCTCCCACCCCACACCCAGGGGCCACGCCTCGGGGGAGGGGCAGAGGTCCGGGGCGGACACCAGAGGGCCCCGGGTGGGGGAGTGGGGCAGGCACAGGTGGTCCTGCGGGCTGCGGAAGGTGCACTGTTGGCCCGAGGAAGTCCCAGGGCACCTGCAGAGTAACTCGGCAACCCCGGGAGTAGAGGCTCTGGGAGTACAAAGGCCCTTGTGAAAGAAATCGAATGTTAATCTTGCCCCTTCTCGCTCTTGTGGCATCCTTGCAGCCAAGAGACAGGGAATTCAAACCGCTTCCCAAGCCCCCATCCAGATCCAAGCCACCTTCAAGCCACCGCACCACACTGGCGGAAGGAACCCATCTGGGAGCCACCCAGACACCAGGCAGCAGCTGCCCCTTCCAGAGGTGCAGGTTTCATAGCAGTCAGATAAATGCAGGGTAGGATGTGTCAAGAAATGAACCAGATTTTTCCTCTTACAAAAACACAGAGCAGAGTCTAGGCACTGGGAAGAGACAGAAAATTCTGATCTTTGTAATCCAAGGTCGGATCTGAAAGGAGTCCCTGAAGCCTGGAGTATAAATTAGTGCATTTCTTATAGGATGTGGTTTGGCAGGTTGAATAAAAACCCTTGAGAATATTTAGGGTTTTTCTGAATCAGTAATTCCTTTGTAGGACCTCTCTTAAGGATGTAAATCAGCAACAAAGACTTATAGACATGGTTCAAGTAAATGTCATTTACAATAGAAAAAAAATAAACAAAAGATTAGAAAGATCTGTACTAAAATGCCAACAGCAAGAACTTCTGGGTAGTGGATTTATAGATAACAGATTTCCTTTAAGCTTCTGTACTTATACCTCCCCAAGAGATATTTAGAATTTATCTGTCAGAAGAACATTATTTAAAAAGCATGAACATAAAGAGAAAGATAAGCATAGCTTTAGGAGTCTCACATTGATCCGAGTAGAACTAGATAGCAAAATGAGGGATTCTCCCACCCCAATCAAAATATTGAGTATTTGCCTTAAACCCTGCCTTAAACCCTGTAGTTTACAGCTTCGTTGATAAACTCTTCTATAGACCTTACCTTTTTATCTTCTTGCAACTATACTGTGAGATTCAGATTCAGCAGTTACCAACATCTGACCTGCAAATAATCAGATATTCACCAGACGTAGCTGTAATTTTCCAGCCTGTGATTTCCACATGCCATGTGGATTCCACTGCAAACTCACATTTACTTGGGTTTGGATCAGGGACTTTGGCCAAGGAGCTAACAAAAGCTCTACGGTCTCTGGGTAGAGCCTGGCAAAGCAAGCCTGCTGGTGAGTAAGTCGGAATACAACTTCTGCTCTTTCCATTCTTCCAGGAGCTAAACCCTTTTCCTCTAGAAATCTTATGGGACCTTCCACTTTGAACATTTTAATTAGAAACTTACAAAACATTATGGTTTTCTACACAAATTTTTGAGATAATGTAACAAAATGTGACATCTACACACATCATACCTTTTTGTAACTAAAGCCAGAAACTATTTTTCATTTAAACTGCAAGAAAAAAAAGGTTAGGCATATAGGCAGCTCCAAATGTTAAAAGAAAAGCCCAGTGGGCCAGTGTTAGGAAATGTTTGTGCTAAAAAACTTCAAAATAGCTTTGTTTCTAAAACTCTAGTTCAGTCTGGAAGAAAAGCTTTGGAAATAGGACATGAATGTCCAAGGTAAACTGAGGCACATGCTGAGGAATGTATTTGTGGGTGGGCACGAAGTGTGGATCCCATCGGGCATGGCTTTCCAGTTTTGATGACATCTTAGCATCACAGAACAGGTCCCACGTATGAGTTCAGGATGAAAAGGGACAGTCTTTCTCATGCAACAGACCTGTTTCCAGGTGTCTCTTCTCATGCAGATACACACTTATCCTCCAGGGTAATTTGTTGGGGCCTTTGGACATTCTGCTAGTGGCCAGCCTGGACTGGGCCAGTTGGGGTGGTGTCCTCCTCCCTCCTCCCTGGGTGCCCTCTGCTGGGCTCACTGCTAGCCCTCCTGATCAACTCTGTGGTTGTTGGACCCCGGCACCAATACCAACAACAGCTCCTCTGTCACCCACATCGTTTCCAGGAAGGGGAAGGGCTGTCAAGGAGGAGGAGTGGCAAGTGTCCAGGCTGTTGGGCAAGGGCCAGAGAGAAAGAACCTGTTGTTAGAACCCTCACTCCCCCCACTGTTGCAGAGGAGACTGTGAATGAAACAGCACTCTGACTTCAGCCGGCGATTCCAGGGCACAGACAGAGGGCAAAAGGCAGGGCAAGGAGCCAGCCCCAGCCCCAGCCGGGCAGGGATAAAGGGCTGTTCAGCCGAGCAGGTGACAGATGACTGTCTGTTAGACTGAGGGCAGGTGGATGGTCCGGTGTCCTCAAGTTGCCTCACATACTGCGTGCATGTGCTCTTGTGTGGCGAACGTGATGACCAATGCACTGGCGAAACACTCACGTGCTCTTCAGCACGCTCTCTCTCCAGTTCTCCAGGCAAAGACCTCTCTGTTCTGGAAATCGAAGTTCTGTTTAGAAAAGTTAGATGCCCACGGGTGGAAAATGCTAGCTGTCTGTCTACTCCTGCCGAGCGCTGAAAAGCACAAAAGGGGTTCACATTAGTGGAAGAAATGTAAAGCGTGTTTCTCGGTTCAAGAGAGGAAAGAGACTTTGCTTGACAAGAGATAAGAACCCTTGCCAAGATGTCTGAACTGACTGCTGTAGTTTTCTCCAGATAGTCAAGTCTAAGACAAAAAAAAAAGCAAATTATAGCCTTAGGAACCCTTAGGCCTTCCCACCAACAGGTCCCTGATAATTTGGTAGGTGCTTAGAAAATACAGAATTTGTGTAAAGAAAAAAAATTAGAGAAACTTGTTCTTTGTCTTGCATAGAAAAAACACACACACTTCCTTGTGTCCATGGGCTTTTTCTCGAAATGTCCTCAGATGGCAGTTCTCAGAAGACAGCAACGAGGTAGCCGGGCTCCAGCTGAGGCTTTCAGAAATGGCTTTTTCATGAATAGTGCTCCTTATACAGCTGTCCCTGGGGTGCTGCTGGTACAGGGATTGTGGTCACCACCTGATTTTGAAACACAAATCTTTTGATTCTTTCGAACACCCAGAGGAAGATGAGCAGGATACTGACGTACTGGATCCAGGCAAACTTTATCATTTCCCAGAACCCTGGTTGATAAGTACACTAGGTTAAGGAATCACAGACATCTTCTAAGGGAAAGTTAAACCAAAGTTTAGACAGATCATGGCCAAAATGTTTCAAATACCCTTAAGATAAAAGAGATAATAAGAGATTACTGAGACATAAATATGGCTGATTCTGATCTAGAAGAATTGCTTAGAAAGAAAGAACAGGGAATGAGTATCTTTTTCCTGCAATATCCAATCTAAGGCATTCCACTTCTGTGTCTTCTTGGGACAACTGAGGAGTCCTTCTTTTCTTTTTGGAAACTGAGCTGTTCTTCGCTCTTCAACAGAAAGGATATGAAATGACTTCCACAGGGTACCGAATAACAGCATTAATCACAAATGGAGCTTCGGCTGCCCTTCCCACCAGCCAGATGGGGTTGGGGTCAGTCAGAATGGTGGTTACTGCAACACAGTGAGGAGTTAAATCAGGTATACTTTTTGGCAATAAACTCTCAAGAGCTATGAAAATACTCACTGACCCCTCACATTTAAATCTGCACTTCAAACTCATTCCAAAGAAATAAGTCAAAAGGGGAAAGAAATTGTATCACAAAGTTATTCATATCATACATTATTTGTTAAAATACTTACCTTTAAGGGCCCTCCCTGGTGGCGCAGCGGGTTAAAGCACTGCACTGGGAAGCTGAAACCACCTCCGCATGAGTTCGATTCCCGCCTGCCCCGGAAGTGACCATATGGTGTGGCAGACCTCCCCTGACCCGCCCGCTGCTCCCCTCAGCAGTGTACTTCGTCGATCTGCCTATTCTGCTCCCTACTCTGTCTCTGGTGAAGTCTTTCGCCACCCCTGAGCCTCTGGCCTGTACCCCAGTTCTGTATGCACAAATAAATAAATCTTAAAAAAATAAATTAGGTGCTTTAGTGTCTCTAAACTGTGATAGCAGATCTATCTATATCTATATGTAAAGTGCATTTGGACAAAGACTACATAAAGAATAGGTAAAGGGAAAAACTAAAGTTGATTTACAGTTGAGTTTTAAAATTCTTTTATTTCTAGACTAATGCTGCCAGTATATAACATAAAATCCAGGAGATACGCTGGAATTGCAGACACTGCACTTGTGTGAAATGTCTGTGTGTGATATCTGGTTGCCAACTTCAGATGCCTGCAGAGAAACCTCAGACCACAGCCTGAGTCCAGCTGAATCCAGCACATGGGCGGCCGAGAGCCTTGCCTCTGTAAGGCAGACACCTGCCTTCCAGCTGGAACCTGGGCGCACCTATCTCCCACTTTGACTGCGAACACGGAGTCACACATTCCTGACTCCCAGCTGTAAACGATGGGTAGTAATTTAGGCTTGATTTCTTTTACGTGGTGATAAAAGGAACACCTTAACTAGGCTTACATTTTTTTTTAATTTTTTTTAAAGATTTATTTATTTGTGCACACAGAACTGGGGTACAGGCCAGAGGCTCAGGGGCGGCAAAAGGCTTCACCAGAGACAGAGTGGGGAGCAGAACAGGCAGATCCATGAAGTGCACTGCTGAGGGGAGCAGTGGGTGGGTCAGGAGAGGTCTGCCGCACCATGTGGTTTCCTCCGTGGCAGGCAGGAATCGAACCACGAGGAAGTGGCTTAAGCTTCTTAGTTCAGTGCTTTAATCCGCTGCGCCACCAGGGAGGGCCACTAGGCTTATATTTTAAGACAATGAGATGGATCCCTGAAGCCAGTGGTGGAACAAATATGACAATGAATTGGCGTTAACTTACTGGCTGGAGGGGTGGACATGAGTATTTAGAGCAGGGAAAAAAGGAGGAATCCTGTTCACTGGCCAGCACTGAGCATGCCCTGGATTTGACAGTGTCATCATGATACGGTCTCCAATCCTATTTTTCTGCGAGGTAATTAAAGATTGCTCAGGCTTTTGTGTGGTTGGCCTCTGTGGCTGTCACCTACGGCCTTGAAGGCAGGAGACACTTGGGAGCGTGGGCTCGGGGTAGCTTGCTTGATGGTGGACACCTGGCGTATGGTGTGGGCATGCGTAGTGGGCACAGCTGAGCCTGGAGGCCGAGCATATAGAGTGGCAAAGGGTGGTAGAGGACGGAGTGGTAGAGAGCGGTGGAGAGACGAGGAGGGCTCCAAAACTCTCCTTAGCCCGTCGGCCCTGATCGTAGAGATCCTGCGCTCTGCCTTGCTTCCACTACACCCCCCCACACCCCCACAAACCTGGGAGACCCTCACAGCTCACCGTTCCTTTCCTGGTAGGCAGCCACGATGCGGGTGAGGTCGTAGTCAGAGGCAAAGGGGCTGCTTCCATCGATTACAGACACCTGGGGTACGGCAGGGGGTATGGTGTGAGCACCCACAGTTTCTCCACCCTCTTGAGACCACCCTCCGGTTCTTGGTGGCCAATTCCACTACCGATATCTTTCCTTCAATGATGAATGGACTTTCACTTACTCCTAAGTCAACTACTCTCAGTATGGAAACCAGTGAGGGCCTCCTTGGTGGCCTCAGGGTTAAGTCTCAGTGCTGCCCCTGCAAAAGCCAACCCCCAAGGCCTGAGTTTGATCCCTGCCATGGAGCTAACCCATCTGTTTTGCCCCCTGCTCCCCTCAGCAGTGTATTTCAACAGATCACCTATTCTGCTCCCCACTCTGTCTCTGGTCAGTTCTTACCCCCACTCCTGAACCTCTGGCCTGTACCCTACCTCATCTACACAGCAACAAGTAAAATCCTAAAATTTGTTATTTTAAATAAACAAAGTGAATCCCCACCTCTTACAGGGTTTTAAGTTATTTACAAAATACCCTTCTCTATTTTGATGGCAAAAATAATTCCTTCAGCCTCTCTTATTAGACCACATTTTCAACTCCTTTGTCTTTTCATTGCTCGTTAGATTACTACTTTCTCTCTTTTAAATGTAGGGATGGAAAAGGATGAAGCACAAATACAATTGCTTGGAAATGACTTCCTGTCCTCTAATACCACATTCCCATTGACAGAAATCTTCAAATAAAAAGCCCTGTGGGTTTTTCAGGTGAAGATTAATACAGATTGTTGAGGACCCAGCAGAGGCATTAAAAGCTTGAAAAAGAGGTTCCACTCCAGGATGGTGACAGGGGAACCTCCTGAACTCGCCTCCTCCCATGGACACGGTGACTACAGCTACATGTGGAGCAAAGTCCCGCTGACAGAAACCTGCGAACTGCTGAGTGACTGCTATAAACCAGGCAAATAAGAAAGTACATCAAAATGGGTCTTGGCACATCTCAACTTCTGGGGGCCACTCAGAACAAAAGATAAACATGGGCGTGATGGAGGTGTAAATTAACTAGACGGCAGGGGTCCTGTCACTTTGTAGACACATACAAATCAGCACAAGGTACACTTTGAGTAGCTCACAGTTTTGTCAATTATACCTCAATAAAACTGGAAAAAGCAAGCCAACTCAGCAAAGGCTTTCCCAAATAAAAAACAAAACAAACAAACAAAAACAAAAAAACGGTCCACCTCCTTTTTTCCCTACATATACTACTGACAGCTAGGGTGACCATAAATCCAGTGTATCTGGAACAGTCCTTGCTTAAGTCTATATGAACTGACAATACCCCAACTTCATTTTGATAGGTGCCCTGATCAATTTATGTGGGCTCCCTTGCAATAAAAGAGAGGTCAGTAATCGTGATCAGACATATGAGTTCTGGCCTCAGACAATGTGTGGCCCTGTTACTTTCAATCTGTGGGACTTTGGGAAAATAAATCCCTGTAAGCCCCAGTTTCCTCATGTGTCAAACAAATGTTCATTCTTTCATCAAATCCATCTGAGTGCTTACAGTGTGCTGAGCACTGTTTTAGGACTGGGTCAAAGTAGAGAAGATTGGTGAATGCTTCCATGGCTGGGGGAGACAGTCGATCAAGAAACCAAAATCATACCTTTAACATTTCAGGTGGAAGTAAGAACAGTGAGTCTGCACGTGGGATGATGGAGAGAAACAGGAATTTAAGAGGGGAGCTCCGGGAGCGTCTGTTCTCAGGGATATTTTAACAGGACCCAGGGGAGGTCCTTGGCAGAGGGGAAGGCCAGCACAAGGAGATTGCATAGTCTCATAGGTTAAAGTAGCAAAAAGGTCAGGAAGCCAGAAAGCAGCAAGGGGACAGAAGTAGGCTGGCAACTGTAGGGAAGTGACAAATGGAGGCCTCCTCAGGTTGCTGAGATGACTGACGGAGATGAAATACTTAAACCTTTCAACTCATAGGCGCAGTAACTGGTGGTTAGTTACTTCTGGAATGTTTTATGGGAACTCAAAAAGATACATATGTCAGATACATATATATCTAATATGTAAGATAGTTATGTATGTATCAGATATTTATCCAATATATATAAGATACCTATCTCATACATTTATACATGTAAGTCCAGCTGTATCTGTCTCCTTATTTTGAAAGAATTCATAGTGAGAATTCCTCTTCTGTGCTACCCACAGAAAAATGCTATTTCCAAAATTTCCATTTCTCCCTCTTCAGAGATAATAGCAGTGTCCAGAGGCCAAGCAGAGGGAGAAGCAGCAGCACCCTTACGTTGTAGCGGACGTCTAGGCCGCCATGGCTCAGGGGCTGCTTCTGCTGCAGGCGCAGGTCTCCGTTCACGTACAGCTGGGAGCCGGGGACAGCGAAGGAGGACTGCAGGAACGCCATGGTCTGCATCACGAATGTCGACATCCTCTGAAATCATCAGTGGACCAAGTTGGGGCCTATCGGAAGAGCCCTGGCTTCCTAGCCTCACTTGGTGGAAGCCTCATGGCCCTGCACAGGTCTAGTCTGGCCATGCAGGAGGCATCTGCCCAGGGGCTGAGCCACCAGTAGCCCAGGTACTTAACAGGACCCCACAGAACACTGCGTTTGCCTGAGTTAAACCCCCAAATGCACCTCAGAAAACAACCTGTGAAAGTGTAGGTCTTCTTAGAAGTCAGGGGAGGGGGAGGCCGAGCCTCACTGGGGAAGGAACTCACATGCAACTGGTAGGAGAAAGTCAGGATGAGCTGTACACCAACCACATGTTCTGTGGACTGCAGGGGAAGCTCCAGGTGAAAATGTAACAGGTCCATTTTCCCATCCTGGTTCCTGTCTTCTTCTCTAGTCTAGGAAACCCAAAAAGGGTCAAGGACCCTGGTGCTTCATAAGTTTGGAAGGGTCCCTTTCATGGGTCCCCACACACAATGATCACAGGGGTATTATCTTCCTCATGGAAAGAAAAGGAAGGGAAAAAAAGGACATACACGCATCAATAGTGATGAGAGGGCCTTGCCTTCCTGCTCATGCAATGAACATCATGCAATGAAGCTATTCGCAGCCATTGCAGCAGGAGTTCCATCCCGACCCACAGGGCGCAGCAGACCTCTCCTGTCTCCCTGCTGCTCCCCTCAGCAGTGTATTTCAGTACATTTGCCTGTTCTGCTCCCCACTCTGTCTCTGGTGAATCCTCTTACCCCCTCCCCTCACACACCTCTAGCCTGTACCCCTGTTCTTGGATGCATAAATAAATCTTTTTTTTAAAGATTTATTTATTTATGCATACAGACTGGGGTATAGGCCAAAGGTGCAGAGGCGGTGAGAGGCTTCACCAGAGACAAAGTGGGGAGCAGAACAGGCAGATCAACGAAGTACACTGCTGAGGGGAGCAGCGGGCGGGTCAGCAGAGGTCTGCCGCGCCATGTGGGTCACCTCGGGACAGGTGGGGATCGAACTCATGCGGAAGTGGCTTTAGCTTCTCAGTGTTGTGCTTTAAGTGCTGCGCCACCAGGGAGGGCCCATAAATAAATCTTTAAAAAAATTGTGGGGAAGAGAGACACCATGTATATGCGCCCCCCCAAAAAAAACTTTATCCTTGTGCTTCTCAAATATTTAAGGGTCACTGAACGGAGAACTTGAAATGGCAAAAACAATAAACATCTGGATGACATTTTCCTTTTCTCTTGTCATTTGAGCTTTTAGTCCCTGACATCTTTTTCTTTTTCCTTTTAATGAACATGCCTGTGTTTGCATCCAAAATTAACGCATTTCCAAATGATCTATTTATCCAGAAGCTAATTCTTTTAAATAGGAAAGAAACTAATAGTAATCATGCATTGCCCAAACAGACTCAGCAGAAAAACACAAAGCTCTATTTATACTTTAACCACAAACAGCATTGCTTCAGATTCTTGATGTTGGACCTCACCTCAGCATTGATATGAGGACTTTAAAGCTCACAGCACCTTTTAGCATCAATCAATAAAATGAAAATAGAAGCTAAGTAAAATCAGTAAAGCATTAAAATGACATAGAAACTTTCTAAACTATGGACATGAAAGTAGGAAAAACAGACCTCTGATGTGGGAAAAAAAGACCAATTACAAGTCATTACAAAACACTGGTATTCTAATTGTCCAATAAGTGTACATAAACTTTAAAAACTTTATAAAAACAAAATCACGGGTGTCCAGTCTTGTCATCCATAACCTCACCTTGAGATGACTGTAGTGTGAGCAAGCAGGATGACTACTGAGACGTGATCACTGTTGATGTGCTTCCTTAGCAGGAATCTGCATCTTATTGCTACAAGGGACCCTCTCCCACTGCACGTTCCCAGAAGGATTCTAATCTGGTGTTCCAACATTCCCCTGGGAATTCTCCATCTACTGATTCATTTTGCTTTCCACCAACACCTCTATAGGAGGAGGAGATTCTTTGTTCCTTCTCAGGGTTATAAGGTTGAGAGGGTGATCTGTTTTCAGATCCTTTCAATCAGCTCTTTCCTACTAGACAATAATGTCTTTATCCTAAGCCTTGTCATAAGAAACGTACCCTCTCTCTTCTGTTGGACACTATTTTCTCTGTCCTGTCCCATCAGCTTTGCAGGTGCACAAAGGGGTATCTGTTAGCAGGGCTGGCGATCAACTTACTAAGGCAGTGATGTCTTAGCTATCATGAGTAGGAGCAAAAAGAAGCTGCCTTGTCTTTTGGGTTTTCTTCAGTTGGTGTCTGGGAAGACTTGGATGACAAGGTCAGTTAACTCGGGTAAGACAGGAAGATACAGATCAAACATCTCAACTTGCAAGAGAGGACAGTGGTCAGAAGGGAACTGGCAAAAGTATCCAGACTCAATCATAGCACAGGAGGGAGGCAACAAAATCTCATTTGAGCTGTATAGTATGTTTAAGGTAAGAAGAGCAAGTGTTATCCCTGCTGTATGGGTGAGAATGTTGAGGCTCAGGGATTTATTGAATTCTGCTAGTAATGATAAAGACAAGATTTAAAGCCAGGTGTTTGACTTCAAATCTGGTCTGTTTCCCAAATCGTATTCTAAAATGTCCAGACTTAAACAAACAAACAAACAAAAACATTAAGAAAAAACAACTTAAGATGATGTTGGGTGGGACAAATCATTTTGCAAAAAGCAGAATTAAAGTCATGAGTGTAAGTTTGTATACTTGCTTGAGCGCACCTTTATTCAGCCGCAGAGGGAAGAGAGTGGGCAGAGTGCCATCATTTCGTCTACTCTCCTGCATCTGTCAAGTATTATTTGAGGGTTCTACATGCCAGGCACTGTTTGAAGTACTGGGAATACAAAGGCAAGCTAAACAAAGTCCTCTCCCTAATGGAGCTTATATTCCGGGCAGGGAGGCAGAAAGTAAATCATACATTAATATATGTGTACCAATATCAAGGGGTGGTAAATACCACAAAAAAGCACTGCCAGCTAAAATTAGAGAATGATGAGGGCAGAATTTGACAGAAATGCTTACGATAATTTTCAGGAAGGCCTGTTGCCAGAGAACTGAAACAAGGGACGGGCAGGCAGGCCAGTGTCCCGGGAAGGGTGGCCCCCACATGCTCGGAGCCACTGGGCAAGTGGCTGACAGTGTGAGCGGCCAGGGCAGCTGAGCACGGTGGTGAAGTGGTGGCAGGGCACAGTGGGCCACGGAGAGCCGAGGGGGTGGGCACCCATGAAAATGGTGGCTCTCCAAGGTGATGGTCCCCAGGCTGCAGGGCGGTCACACTCCTATGCTGGCGGCTAGACCACTGCTGAAGTCTATGAGCTGATTCCACTGAGTTCAAGTCAAGCCAAGTGAAGTTACAGAGAAAACAATTGTGGTGTGATTTCATTCATGTGTGGACTATAAAGAAACAAATGAAATGCTTAGAGCCAGAGAGACCAGATTGTCCGCTACCAGATGGAAAGGGGCTGCCGGGTTGGGGAAAAGGGGTCAAGGGTATGGGGATGAATGGAAATGAGACTCCTGGTGGTGATCATGAGGTAGTGCATGAAGACACTGACTTAGGCTGTACCCCTGAAACTTATGTAATATTATCAACCCAATGTCACCTTAATCACAGCTACTTTCAGCTAAATTATGATACAACATGTCCTAATAACTTAGAGTATTTTATACTTGACTGTAAGAACTTATAAGATTTAGGCATATTTTTGCACAGGAAAAAATTAAGCAGAACAAATTGATCCAGGGGATCTGAAAACTTTACATGATGATTTGTTTAATCACTTTCAGTTCAATGATATTTATACTTTTCTAAACATATCTGTCCTTTGTGCCATCAAGCAGCTTGGCAATGAAGCATCACATAAACTCATTCAGGGCAAATCCACCGACTTGGGCTCTTAGCAGCCTTAAAATTATGTAGAGGTAGCCTATTTTTAAATGCTTCTTGAATGCTTTTTAAATGCTTCCCTTACCTGTTCTCCATTTGGTTCTGAGGCATTAAAATGTTTTATTCTCTTCACTGTTTCATCTATCCATTGCACCTCAATAAAACTGACAGAACAAGAACGAGAACCCTTTCCTGCTGTTTCTGGGGCTTTCTTTCAAGTAGCTTCTGTCGCTTTTGCAAGCGTGGGTGCTGGCGCTGGTGATATCTGCAACCACGTAGGCCAGGAGGACTATGTCAGGCTTGTCTCCAGGTCACTCAGTAGAAGACATCACAGGCACGAGGACACATTCTGATAGCAGCAGTCACACTGCTGATATCACCATTGTGCTTTTAGAAAAGACTGTTTATCACTTGTCTTTATGTTTTGTCTTCTGGGAAAACCTTACCAGGAAACTCACGAGCCCGTCTTTTGGAAATCCCGGTCACTCGAGAGCAATTAAACCACTAACCTGAATGTGGCCGAAAACACCCAAAGTGAACTTGCAGCGATTTTGGTCAAATTTGAATGTGCCCAGTCGGAGGTAAGAGAAGGGCTTTTGTAGCTGTAGCAACCAGTTGTTTCAGACACATGGTGCTCTCCACCCCTCTCTCTGTGCCTCCTCTGTCCTGCAGCCTCCACTTTCTCTGGGTTCAGATGCCTCAGAGTCAAGGCTGGCTCTCAGGAGGAAAAGGTCAATCCATGCTGGCTTCTATCTCACTGGAAATAAGAAACTCCACTTTTAAAGCATTAAAAACACAGGCATTTTAAAGATGTCCAAGATAAGCTGACCAAAGCAAAAGCAAAAGCAAGGCCATACCTGACTTCTGGTACATTTTCTTAAATTAGCAACCACAAGCACCTCCAGCAGTTGCTTAAAAGTTGACCTAAAACCACTGCTTCCTTGATTTCCTGGGCAACTTCTCAGACAGGCTATAGTGGGTCTAGCTTCATGTACACAGTGGGAGAAGAATTTTGTTGCAATAAATGTGTTAAAAGGAGTAAGAGGCGCAGCAGGTTAAAGCACAGCACTGAGAATCTAAAGTTGCTTCCGCATGAGTTTGATTCCCACCTGCCCCGGAGGTGACCACATGGCGTGGCAGACCTCTCCTGACCCGCCCGCTGCTCCCCTCAGCAGTGTACTTCATCGATCTTCCTGTTCTGCTCCCCACTCTGTCTCTGGTGAAGCCTCTCGCTGCCCCTGAGCCTCTGGCCTGTACCCCAGTTCTGTATGCACAAATAAACAAATCTTTAAAAAAATAAAAAAAGGAATAAGAAATCCTTGAGTGGTAGTCCTGTTTTCCTGTGAGCCAGAGCAAATGAAGTCACCTCTGAGTGTTTCTTCCTATGTGAAATGAAGAAATCGGTTAAATCTGACTTCCTAAGGTCATTGTGAGGAATAGAGAGATCTGTAAAAAAGTGAACACCTAACACTAAGAGGTTATTACAGGCCAAGTAGGCATATCAGGATTTTAAATGTATTATATAATGATAGCAATGCTTAGCATATGCCTGAGGCATAGAAAATCATAAGTTTCTATGGCTTATAAGCTTACCACCAGGGTGTCACCTCCTTCTTGGTTTTTTCTTTTAAAGATTTATTTTATTCATGCTCACAGAACTGGGGTACAGACCAAAGGTGAAGGGGTGGCAAGAGGATTCACCAGAGACAGAGTGGGGAGCAGAACAGGCAGACTGACAAAGTATACTGCTGAGGGGAGCAGCAGGTGGGTCAGGAGAGGTCTGCCACACCATGTGGGTCAGCTCCCTGACTGGGGATTGAACTCATGCTGAAAAGGCTTCACAGAGCTTCATAATGTGGTGCTTTAACCTGTTGCGCCACCCGGGAGAGCCCCTTACCTCCTTGTTTTTTAAGAAATATCATATATCATAATAGGCGGCACAATGGGTTAAAATGCAGCACTATGAAGCTAGCCCCAGCCATTGCAGCACAAGTTTGATTCCCCGCCAGAGAGGTGACCCACATGGCGCAGCAGACCTCTCCTGACCCACCCGCTACTCCCCTCAGCAGTTAAGTTCAGTAAATCCATCTGCTCTGCTCCCCACTCTGTCTCTGGTGGGTCCTCTCACCCTTGGCACCTCTGTTCTCATATCTCTAAATAAATAAATAAATAAATGATCTTTAAAAAAGAGGGAGGAATATAAAATAGAACCTTTAAAATAAACAGTTGAGTAGATTACAAATTAACTTCAGAAGAGCACATCTTTATGATGGTGAACCTTCCTATCCAAGAAAATAGCTCACTAGATATTTTTTTCTTATCTCTTATAAAGCTTTATACATATAGCTTTTGCCAATTTCCTGTTAAGCTTATTCCTCATTTCAGTTTACCTTTTGTTTGGATTGCTGTTGAATTCTGTACTTCCACTGTATCTTTTTAATTTTTTTTTTCTATCTCATGATTTCAAAGTATGCCCAAACCAAGAGCTCAGTCAAGAAGAAAATCACTGAGGACAGTGGGTGACAAAGCCATAAATTATAAACACGGGCCCAGAATGAAGACAAGACTACACATACACTTGGAATTCACACACCCAGAAGCGGGGCCGAGATGGGCAGGGCTCTCAGGGAAGGAGCTTCTGGCTATAGAGATAAGAGGGTAAGGAGCAGGCGAATGGGCAGGCAACCAGCGTGACCGACGAGCAAGTGAAAAGGATGAAAGAACGAAACCTAGTGCCATCTCCTTGTTTGTGTGATTTTACTTTTCTCCCTACCACTAGCCCTTCAGAATACCATTTCATCACAGGACCACCCCTTTCTCTGCCCCTGAATCCACCTGTACGCACTGCTGGCTAGCAACTGTCATTCATTCTTTTCCACACCTTTCCATGAAGCCCATCCTCTCTGCCACCCTTAGTGCATTCTTCCTAACAAAGTTTACCATGCAACTTCTGTCCTTAAAACCTTTCACAACATTCCGTAGCTTCAGAAGATGCTCAAAGCCCTAAAGGTATCCTAGCTCTTGTTTACTTTTCCAGCATAGTGCTCATGAAGCTCCTTTCTCATCTGGTGCCCTCATTTAATAACTGCTTCATTCTTTAAAAAAAAAAAAGTTTATTTTTATTTATGCATAGAAGAACTGGGGTACAGGCCAGAGGTGCTGGGAGTGAGAGGATCCACCAGAAACAGTGGGGAGCAGATTGACTGAAATACACTGCTGAGGGGAGCAGGGGGCGAGACAGGAGAGGTCTGCTGTGCCATGTGGGTCGCTCCCAGGCGAGGGTTTGAACTTGTGTTGTGGTGGCTGAGGATAGCGTCACAGTGCTAAGACTTAACCCCTTATGCCACCAGGGAAGCTCCCTGGCTTCCGTTTTTAGAAAGGAGCACCAGAAACAGAGGGTGTGCAGTGAAAAGCAAGTATATGAGGTAGCCTGGTTACTCGCCTCTCATATCAACACCCTCTTCCCCACAGACAAGTAAGAACAAACACACACTCTAGTAAGTAAGAATAAACACGTACAGCATGTCAGGGTCAGTGAGGAGGTGTAGCAACAAAGTTTTTTCCTCCAATTCTACTTTAAAAGTCAATGCAAAGACTTGAACATTTAAAGATCAAAGCGTTCAATTAAAGCATGACAAAAACAGACTCCATTCCACTACAAATATTTTCATCTTACATCTGATTACTTAAAAATGTTAGCTCCATGGAATATAGGGAAACCAAATAAGGCATTAGAGAAAAAATAATAACAATTAAAAAACAACAAAACAAAGCAAAAGTAAACAGACAACCATAAATTAGAGCCATTCTGCAGGGAAGAGGGAGAAGGAGCGGGATAAATTCCAGGTGGGATGAACACAAGGGACTATGGTGAAGGAGCATGGGTGAACTGTGTGGGAATTCTATGGGGAGTGTACCTGAGAAAAGAAAGCAAATGTAAAAAGAAAAAAGTTGTAAAATACATATAGATCAATTAAATTAAAAGAAATGTTATCTCCATGTATTTAAATGTTTGAATTGGCACTTCATTTCTCAGTTTCAGGCATCCTCACTCCCAAGCTGACTTCACATAAGGAAAGGTTCTTCCCCCCCCACCTCCCAATAGCCCCAACTCCCCCATACACAGTCCCCATCCAACAACAAAGTGAAATGCTCATTTTGGTTAATATTCAATACTCAGTGTTCACATAATTGTAACTATATAAATTTTATTCACCTGATTACTTCTCTCACTTTTTCTTCATTTTATTTCTCTGGGTTATTTTATGTCTTGCTCAGATTTCTATGTACTTATATAATTTCACCTTTAATTTTCTTTCCTTATAATTTGATGCCTAAAGATCTCATATTTATTCAAAATCTTGTTCATCGCTATATTTTCTCCAGTAGTGAAAAAACAAAAGCAAATCAAATATTCACCAACAGGGAAATGGTTAAATGCATTAGTTTTTCCTTATCATGAAGTTCTTTGCAGAAATGAGAAAGAATAAATTAATGAATATGGATTGATACATGACCTTATGAAGCCTTTATTTTCATACCTTTTATAGATACCCATTGCTCTTTAATATTTTCCAACAAGTATTCATTTTTATAACCAGGAAAAATATATTTAGTAGGCCCTCCAGGTGGCTTAGGGGTTAAATCTCCTAATCACCTCAGGCACTATCACCTCTATGGCCTGAGTTCCATCCCCAGTCAGGGAGCTGACCCACATAAGGGACAGCAGACCTCTCCTGTCTTGGCTGCTGCTCCTCTAACAGTGTATTTCAGGGGCCCTCCCTGGTGGTGCAACGGGATAAAGTGCAGCACTGTAATGCTATCAGCAGCCACTGCAGCCCCAGTTCCATCCCTGGCCAGGGAGCTGACCAATACGATGCAGCAGACCTCTGCCTCGCCTTGCTGCTCCCCTCAGCAGTGTATTTCAGTGGATCTTCCTGTTCTGCTCCTCACTCTGTCTCTGGTGAATACTCTCACCTCCCACAACTATGACCTGTACCCCAATTCTGTATGCATAAATAAATAAACCTTTCAAATAAAAACCAACAGTATATTTCAGTCAATCCACCAATCCGCCAGTTCTGTTCCTTACTCCATCTCTGATAGACCCTCCCCGACCCCACCTGTGGCCTGTACCCCAGTTCTCATATGCATAAATAAATAAATGTTAAAAAAATACATTTTCGTTTTACTTAGTTGCTGGGGGAAAGTCTGACTTTTTTTCTGCAGTATAACTTTGGCTTGTTGAACAATCATCTCAGAGACATCTACGAATTCAACTCTGGAAGAAGCAAAAGCAGGATGTTCACACTTTTTTTTTTAAAGGATGTTCACACTTCTAAAGGAAAATGATTTCAGAAAGTGAGTGAGCAGGGTTGATTTTAGAAGCACTCCCATATCCGGAACCAAATAGTCAACTACAGACAATAGAATGCTTCATTTGCACCCTGGACAGCAGCAGTAGGATGGCCAACCTCCACTGAGACTAGTCCAGGGAGGCGGGCCGGGGCTAACAGCTCGTTCTGGAGGTCACTTAACCTATCAGCTCCAAGCTTTTCGCAGGTCAGCTCTGTAAAACACCTGCCCTAAGGTGTGGCGAAGCTGCAGCGACAAGCAGAATGCGGTTGGGCCTTCATCAGGCCAGACCCGCAGCACCGACCCAGAGACAGACTGCTCCCAGGATTCTGGGCTCTTTCAGGGCTCAGATGCAGACAGTGGCTGACTTACCTGGGGAGGTGGGTAGCCTTGGGCCTCTCGCCCTTGCCCTCCCGCCCCACCACCACCCTCCGCGGCGGGAACCACGCACCGAAATCAGAGGGATGCGCAGGTGATGCCCCTGCAGCCGGTTGAAAGCGGGGAACGTGCTCCAGGCCAGAAAGTCACCGCCCTCGGGTGCCAGGAGGGCCACCAGCAGCACCTGGTGCTGGAAGCGCACGGTCGGCTGCTCCTCGTAGCTGCTCCGCTTCAGCCAAAGCCCTGAGGTAAAGAGGGCGGTGGGAGGTCAGAAGGGCCTGCGCGGGCGGCGCGGGCCGCCGGGAGCTGTCGCGAACCGGCCGCGAGCAGGCTCACCGTGGCTCCGGAAGGCCACCAGCAGCGGCGGGATGTACGTGAGCGCCGCGGCCAGCAGCAGGAACAGCGCGGCCTTGGAGCAGAGCCCCGCGCGGTAGCTGCGCTCGGCCGGGTGAGAGTAGAGCTCGTAGAGAGCCATGAGCACCGCATGGAAGCCGGCTGAGCGGCCGGGACCGCTCCGCGGTTTGAGGATTACCAAGTTTGGCTTCTCCTGGTTGCCATAGCCTTGGTCTCCATGGCAACTGACGGCGCAGGAAAGGAACCAATAACCGGGAGGCAGGGTTGTAGGGGCGGGGCTAACGGGGCTCCGCCTGCTGGTGGACGGTAGATCTCGCCTTACGCGCCATTTTCCAAATCCGGATGCGGGTGGAACACTTTCCTGCACCTACGATGTATGTAAAAATACAATTCTCACAAAAAAGTTCTTAAATACCTCCCCATGTATTATATGTTAGCCTTCCAATGTGCTTCTATAACAGAGTGTCAAAGGGGAGATTCCTGCCCCACACGAAGCAAGGTTGAGTTGATTGAGCTGGGAGGCAAGCTGGAGGGAGACTGAGGAGAAGGAAGCAGGAAGGAGTGCCAGGAGACCCGAGGCAGGCACGTGGAGCAGAGAATGTGAAGAAGCGGTTCTTGTTTCTTGATCCTGGACTGGGTGAGAGACCCGTGGGGAGGTTGACGATGGCAGCGTTTATCTTAATTTTGATTTTATGCTCTCCCTCCCAGGCTTATCTGGCCATTTCTGATCCTTTTCTATGGGTCCCCACCAGAAGATGCTTTAAACTTGTGGCAGGTTTTCAGGCTTTGCTTGGGGCCAATCCCTTCTGGATGGATCTTTAGCCACAACTTTGGGTGTCTGATTTAGAAGCCATATTCTTTGTCTTTTCTGTATTGCATACTAATTGTATTAAAATTCCTTTCCATTAAAAATCTTGTTTTGTCTAGATGCAACAGATGGCAGAACCTATTAGAGTCGGCAGGTTTAGGGGTCCTGGGGTACCCCCTCCCTGTCCTGTAACATCATGCTTAAGTCTAGTCACAGCACACCTCCATGTGTATCATAAATGTGGCTGTACACCTGGTCCTGGACCAAGGCCAAACCCTGTTTTGTCTCCAAAATTTCTGTTGCTTCCATTACTCTATAGCAGGACAGGAAAAAGGACAAAAATCTCCTGGTCCTTTACCAAATGTAGAAAACTCTGCTGTACTTTGCAACCTCCTGTTGAGCACAAGCTTCCCTTTGACTTTTAGGAAAGGCCATGGTCCACTCCAAAGAAGACACTGATTTATCACTAAATTGAATATTACCCCCAATGGACCCAAAACTTGTGTTTCAAACATGGGCAAAAGTATCTTATTTTTATTTATCAGTCTATCATCTATCTATCTATCTGGCACATATGGTAAATTATTCAACAAAACTCACTGAAATATTTCATTGCAGTACCAAGAGATAGTGTGAGGCTCATGCTGAGTAGAGTTCAGTTTGTCTACCTATCTTATCTATGTATCTACCTACCTTTCTAGGATGGCAAATTATTCAGGAAAATCCACTGAAGGATCTCATTGCAGTGCCAAGGGATGGTGTGAGGTTCATGCCGAGAGGAGTTCAACAGTTTTGCCACCATTTGGAAGACAAACTCTTAGTGACTTTTTGATGGAGAATGGTTGAGATGCTAACAGTGAGAGATCAAAACAAGTCTATTCAGGAAAATTATCCTAGAGTCCTATCACAGCCCAAGATGACAGTATCAGCAGTTATAAAATGCTCTTCATAAATGTTCTTCATATACCCTGTCCCATAGTACTCATTCTCGTTTTAAAGCTTTTCTTTTGGAGGAATGCGGAGACCTGGGTGGGGAAGGTGGCCCACAGCTCTTAAATATAGCAATTGTTAGGTTTAAATTGTTAGGCTTATGATTCTGATACACTGTACCAATGCTTAAAGTGGATTACATTAATTTATTTAAACAACCATTTAACAAAGAATCTTGTAGAATAGATGGCTCTAGCTTTGTCTCCTGAGGATGGCTCTACTCTAAGATGTTTGCCTCCCAAGCTCCTTATTTCAGAAGAGAAAGTAAACCATGCTAGTGTCAGTTTAGTCAGCACTGATACAGAGGGAAGGGACTGCTAAGAATTTAGGGGTATTATGTGCTTCAGCCTCCCCTGAGATGCAATGAGCTTTGCAAATGTATTTAATAATTATGAATACTAATGTTTACTCTGCTTCCATGATTTGAAGGAGCTAGTCTTTGTAGTTTTACATATATTCTCTAGGAAAGAAAAAGAATTAAAATGCTAAGTATCTGTATAATTTGTCATTTTAACAAATTCATGACTGATAACTGACTTAGTCATGAGAAGTCAGGAGTCTACTTCATGTTTTGTATAATTTACCTCCAAGTACAAAGATAATTAAAACGCTTGATTTTGACTCCTTTCTGGCACCTCCCATTCAGGGTCTCTTGGATGAGTTTAGAACACATGAATGTTTGCTTCAAGGCTTTCAGCAGTTCTTCCAACTTGGCATTGCCAAACTTCTTGCCTTCATGACTTTTCCAACTTCAGTCTGTTTCTATCTGGAAATGGAAGTTACATACCCATTGGAAAATGTAACTTTCTCTCTGAAATACAAGATTCAGATTCTCTGTGAAGGTTCTCTTGATAAGCCTCACTTGGCTTTATTCTTCCTAGCCAGTTCTGAGTATCTATATATATCTCTCTCTCCAACATTTGAAATTTATTCTGCAAATTTTACAGGCCTGTTACTGTGTAATTGCATATATTCATTACTCTATTTCCCCTGACTCACCTCAACTCATCCTCAATCAACCAACTTTGTAAAAAGTCTTCTTCAGCCTCCTTTCATTTGTTCAATAAATACCAGATGGTGAACAATCTTCACTCCTCAGTGTTTAAAAGAGGTATTTGCAAAAGACACATTTTCATTTTTCACTTGTACTCCTGAACTCATATGCTTCAAGAGCTTTTAAATGTTTCACTCCTGAATTTGAGTCACCCATTCTACAGTCATTTGACTGTGTCTCTTGGGCACCTCATACCTGATATATCCAAGAGCAAGTTCTTGATTTTCACCCACCAAGCTAGCTCCCCACTAATTCAGCAAATGATAATATGCTTAAAACCCTCCAGTGACTTATTATAATAAAACCCACATAAAATTCAAAGCTCCACAGTTTTGTTCTAGATCTTTTTATCTCATCTCCTAACACATTCCTCCATGTTTATTCAGTTCCAGTCACCAGGATGCCTTTCTGTTTCTACAATATACCAAACACTTTATGTAACTAGCAACCTACCCATCATCACTCTCTAGTCACCAACCCTGTTTTATTTTTCTAGCCAGCACCTATCACTACCTGATATTTATTTTTTTGTCTTGTTCCACTAAAAAGCAAACTCTGTAAGAGCAGAGCTGCTGACTGTTCTACTCACTCCTCTTCCCAACACCTAGAACAGTGGTCCTGTAAGCAACAGTAATTTGTAGGGATCAAGCTCAAAGGACTTTTTACTTCATTGCAAACAATCAAACAAGAAGTTATTCTGTTGCTGACACATAGCCTTAAAATAACAAAAATACTTTTAGAATGAAGTATCCACCAGGAATTTCAGTAGTAGGAAGTGATTAAAAACAATGTTCAAATATACAGGCCTTTGAGATGCATCAGAATCAGAAGCATGTGGCAGGGATACATGTGCCCAATTAAGTGAACATTCTTCTTACATGTTCACCAGCTCATAAACAGATGACCCAGAGTACACTGTTCTGATGACTCTACTAGGAAGAAGGGAATGACATCACTGGAGAACCTCAAGGCATGTGCTCAAGCAGGTGACACACACAGAGCGCACACTGTGAATGCAGCCCCACACCGACAGCGAGAGAAGCCTGTCTCATGACCAGCTACCAGGGGAATTCTCGGAGTCTGACAGTCCCTACTAACTCCTGTGCCAGCTGAGGTGAATGGAGTCTTTTTGAGATCAACGTGATGTTATACTCTTCAAGTGCATATCTGTGATGCTTTTCCTTAAATGTTGATTCAAACATTTATTCGTGAATAAAGAAAATGGGACTTATTTAAATTCAATTTCTAAGTCCAAGGCAACCTATTACTGCTATTCCCAATGCTGAGCTTCCAAGTGGCTACTAATACCTCTTCCTGCAGTCCCTCCACACTCGTTGCACGTACTGAGCCCCCATCTGTTACCACTCCAGTACTCTCCAGCTATCGGTGCCCTAAAACAGAACCTCTGCTATCAAGCGCCAGAGACCAATCTTCCCTTACGCTGACCTCCCAAACTCACTTGCCACCAACGTCCCGAACACCTCCGAGGTCTCTAGCCAGGCCCCTACGGTTCCCTTCTCGTCCAACTAGCCCTCGCACATACGTCCCTCCCTGTTGGCCACGCCGTCATCTCCACTCTCCCCCAAGCCCCTCGCGAGGCCTTCCGCGACCCCCTCCAGGGCGCACGGCCCCGCCCCTTTGCTCGGCGTCGGGCCCGGAGCACCGGAAGCCCCGCCCCCATTGGTTGCTAGGCTCCGGCAGCCGGAAGTCCCGCCTGCCGTGTAGTCTCCGTCGCCGCCGCCGCTGCCGTCGTTGTTGTTGTGGTTGGTGAGCTGAACTCCGCGGCTCGGAGAGCCGGCTGCTTCCCTTCCCCGCCGCCGCCATGAAGTGGATGTTCAAGGAGGACCACTCGCTGGGTAAGCGCTCGGCTACTGGTCGGGCCGGGGGAGCCGGGCGCCGGGTGGCCCCCTCCCCCACTCGGGCCGCTCTGGGCCGGGCCGGGCAGGGCGGATGCCGTTCTGGACTCGGATCACCGAGGCCCCGGCAACCCGGGCGGCCGCCCCCGGACTCTGTGCCGCACTTCGCAGGCCCTGTCGGGAGGCGGGCAACAGAGGGCTGTGGCCGGTAGGACACCCGAACGAGGGCCCGGGTCGTGCGCAGGTCACGGTGGGGGGGATGGGGGTGAAGGAGGGCCGGGGACGGGGAACCTGCTGGCGAGCTAGGGCCACTGTCATCCCGGTGCGTTTCTCCCACAGAACACAGATGCGTGGAATCCGCCAAGATTCGAGCAAAGTATCCTGACCGGGTTCCGGTAAGTGTTCGGACTCCCCGCCCCCTCACCTCACCGTCACCCCAGTCGTCAAGGACCTGTAGTAGGGCCCCAGGCCATTCAACAGTTGACAAGTTGGGGTTCCAGACAGTAGCAAATGGGCCAGACTCGGTTGGGGTCCGCCAGGAGCTGGGCTGGGCTGTGAGAGGCTCCTGGAGCTGGTGCTGTTCAGGGTGCCTCAGTGCTGAATCTGATCTAGGCCAGTGAGCTGTCTGCAGCCTCTGGGCTCCCTCGCCAATTATGTAAGGAACTATGTTCTAGGACAGGGCAACAGGTCATTGCCACTTTAGGGAACAGTGCTGGAGGGAGACCGTCACTGTGGTCTTGGAAGTGGCACTTTAGTTCAGAACATTAATCTTTGGACCTCCATCTCTACATGAAGTCTAACTCACTGCCCTTCCTCACTCTTACCCTTCTTCTTTTCCTGATGAAAAGAAAAGCAGAAATCGCTAAAACCCTTTATCCAGTGTTTTCTCCTTAATGATAATTACAATCTGTATTTCTTCCATTGTAGGGAAGATCGTTTCTGTATTCCTTATTGATTTTTAAAGGACAGCTGGTCCTGTTATGTAGTTCTTTGCTTCTAAACAATTCCTTTAGGGAGGAAGCAAGAAGGATGAATTCAAAGCCTAATTCAGAGAGAAGCAACAGGCCAAATAAAGAGCTTGATTCTAGATTGGGATTGCCAGTCATCCCCATTCGTCCATCATTCCTGTCTTATGTGTTCCTGTGGATCTTCATTCCCCTGCAGTAGGAAGGCAGAGCCGTTCTGAGCCCCAGAATAACCGGCTATGAACGAAATCATCACTTGATATTCTTGGGTCTGCCCAGACAAAATGTTGAAAAGCTTTGTAGTATGGGCTGGCTGTGTTGTTCTTACGCATGCTGAGATTGGGAATGAGAAATGTAATGACCAACTATAGGAAAGTACTATTTCTCTATAACACATTTATATCAATTCTTAATCTCCAGAGTATGTGGTTTGTTAAACTTGTGGTACATTTTCTCATGTTACACAGTTACCCACCCATTTCCTTGCCCACACACTATGTATATCAGCCCCCTGACAATGCCAGGCCAGAGGCTCACCTGAGAAATCCCATCTTGAACTCTCTTTGCTTTGCCAGGTGATTGTGGAAAAAGTCTCAGGCAGTCAGATTGTCGACATTGACAAACGGAAGTATCTGGTTCCATCTGACATCACTGTGGCTCAGTTCATGTGGATCATCAGGAAAAGGATCCAGCTTCCTTCTGAAAAGGCAATCTTCCTGTTTGTGGATAAGACAGTCCCACAGTCCAGGTGAGAGGTGTTTACCAGTATTGCCTATCTGAAATTCTTAGAGGTTCTGACTAGAAGTCTGGATTTTATGCTCCTTCCCATCAGGAGCTCTGGACAGTAAGAGAATATATTTTTGGTTAAGAAAACAGAACAAGGCCTGGACTTTAAAAAACATAAGATCTAGCCTCAGATCCCCAAGAATCCTTTCAAGTCAGCTTAAACCCTGAGTAGAATTGAAGCCTGAAGTGAGATTTTCTCCAAATGATCTGTAAAGTAAGGCTGTCACTCTCTGTGAGGTGCTTATGTGCCCTGCTGAGGCTCAGCTTCAGTTAATCACCCTCTTGCTCACTCTCCAAACTTAGCTCTGTGCCACTGGGAGAGTCTATAGCTGCCTGATCCTCAAGTACACCAAAATGGCTGCTGTCCAGTGAAGGGAGCCAAGGTCTTTTTACAGACTTATACCTCCTTGGATGCTAGCTGCTCCGAATGTCAGAGTAGTCTCCACGCTTGTCTAGTTGTGCTGCCTGGACGCAATCTTTGGGATAACATGCAGCCTGAATCTTGGCGGGGATGCTAAAATTTCCTTCTGTGTAGTTGACAGTTTAGCTTTAGTTCCCTGTGGGAAGGGAAAAATGGACTGACTCGTCTAAATCCTTGGTCAGTCCTTTCCGGTTATTGATTGAGTACTTCTAGGCCCTGGGCCAAAACTGGCCCTGCATCCCCTGAGTATGAGTTCCTGGCAGCCTCTCATCTTGGTGACCCAAACTCAGTTTCACTTGTTAATCCCACAAGTAACTGGGAGAAGCCCTGGGAACTGTCTCACTGTGGACAAAATATACCATTTTGACAATGTCTTGAGCTCTCCACAAGAGACCTAAGCCAAATTCTTTGCTTATGCCTGCAAAAGGTAGAATGCTTTAGCTGTCTTTTTACCTAATTTCCCCTTTCCCAGTGTCCACCATTTCCACTTCTGTGGAGTTTAGCTGTTGTGTGGCCTCCTTCCTGAAAGTTGCTTCTTAATGGGAAATAGATGACTAGGATGATTAGGACCAGTGGCATTGAGTTTATTCTGATCCTTGATGCTTGAAGGAAATGAGGAAGTTTCTGGAAACATCAGGATTATTCTGCATTATTCTACATTATCTAGCAATTAAAATGGTTGCAGATAGCCACTTCCCCCTCCCCCCATTTTCCCTGAGATAGAAATTGAAAAGTAATTCTCAGGGCAGCAGAAGCTGCTTCAGGGCCATTTTTTCCCCAAGACCCATTTATCTTTTCATCCTAGTGAGAATGTCCCTGAAAGCAGACTACAGCAATGAGGCAAGTCAGGATTTTAGTCACTGAGTGGGGCCTCTCTGCCCAGGCCCTCAGTGTCTTTGGCCCCAGTTAAGGACATCTTGCCCCACACTTAGTGCAGCAATTTTGCGATGTCATCAGATTTATGCAAATGCTAACCATCCCTTAGCAGCACAAACAGCATAGCCACAAGATTTCCTTCCTAAAGCTATGAGAGTCTCAGCTTTACCACCTGTAGCCCAAGGCAGTTTGCAGCCTTTTTCAGTCTTTCCAGCATCTGTGGGAAGTGTGGGACACCCATTAGCACTGTAGCCAGTGCTTGTAGCCTGGAGTGGCTGGAGCGTCAGAGTTGAGAAAGAAGTGCCTGTGTTAGCAGGAGCCACGTCCCATCCCGAGACAGGTCTGCAGGCTGAGACAGAAGTAATTTCGGTTATCCTGCCTTGAGCTGTGATCAGGAGGGTGTACGTCACTATGTAAAATGTCATGATTATTCACTTTTAAATATGTGGTTCTAGAAATAGAGACAAAGGCAAAGAGTTTTACTTCCTAAATTCTTTCCGAGTTAAATGTGAGGTGTGTGTAGCACAGTTGTTCTTCCTAGTGAGCACTGGCGAGTTGAATTCTCTGCCTGGATACCTACATTAAGAACCAACCCCATATTGAAAGGGAAACTGGTGCGTATGTGACTTGAGAAAGAACATCAGTGCACAAGCTTCCTGTTTATGGCACTAGAGACCTACTGTGGTGCCTGCCTTTTGGTCTTTGATCAGAAACACAAGTCTTGTTACTCTCCTGTTAAAACAGAAGTATGTGAGTATGTTATTAAAATAAATGTATGTAAGATACTACAATTTTGGTATCTTACATTGGAAATATGTGCTGTTTAAGATGGTGTTTAGTTGCTTCTGAGTTAAAAGAAACTGGTATCTTGAGGTCCATCCTTTATTTGACAATGTGCTTGAATTAAGCACTTTTGGTCATTTCTGGGTAATACTTCTTTAAGAACAGGTTTATTTGAGCAGTGCGTAGTGTTTTGTTTTATTTTAAATATTTTTTTATTTATGCATACAAGAACTGGGGTACAGGCCAGAGGTGTTGGGGGGTGGGTAAGAGGACTCACCAGACACAGAGTAAGGAGCAGACAGGTAGATCTATTGTTGCTGAGGGGAACAACAGACTAGACAGGAGAGGTGGGTCAGTTTCCTGGCCAGGGATCGAAGTAATGTTGCAGTAACTGTGGATATCTTCAGAGTGCTGTGCTTAGCCCCTTGGAGCCCCAGGGATGCCCTGCAGTAGTGTTTAGAGCAGAAAAAAGTTTTGATAAGAGGAACAAGCAGTAATTTTTATTTTTTAGAGTCTTTGGGAGCCTTTAAAGCCATTGTAACTTCCATTTTGAGGCCAGTCCCTCTCCAGGACCCACAACATTGGTATTGTCCTCCAGCTTAACCACACCATCCCCTCCCTGCTAGAAAAAAAGAAATCCAGGACCTGGGAACCTAAAGGTCTCATGAAGCACGTGAATGCCAAGCAGATGGATGGCCAGGTGTGCTCATTCGTCCAGTTAATTCATGAGTCGGGCGGGATGCCACAGCCTTTGTGACCTGAGCTCGGTGGTCAGTCAAGGGTATGTTCTCCACTCACACACTTCTAGGCCTGATTCGTAGGCTGTTGAGTAGCTTGAAATTAACATTTGTCTTCAGCAGTGTGGCCATTCCGGCCTGTGGCTCCTTCTGATAGCTGCTTTTATTTTGGATGTCCTCTTCAGTGGCAAAGGGGTTTGTCTGGATCAGAATAGAGGGGTGGGAGACAGGTTTTTAGGGGGGACAGGTTAAGTCATTTCACTCTTAAGTAAGTCTACTACTGGTTTTTCTAACGTCTTTCCAGGCGTCCATCAGCATGGCTCTTGGATGAAGGCATGCAGTGCTTGAGTCCAGCCATGCGACACTGGAGGCCATCCCTGCCACCCTCCCCAGACTGTGACCTAGGCAGGGGCTGGGGTTTTGCCAGGCCATCCACTGAGTATGCAGCTTCACCTGACCGTCTTGCTAGAGCTGCGTCTACTTTGGGATACTCGGGCGTTCCAGCAGTGGCTTACTGGTGCCTAGTGTCTTGGGCCTCTGGGGATGCTGACAGGAAAGCTTATTTTCTCAGAGGCTTATCGGATGTGTGCTAAACTGATCAGCCTACAGCCATAGCTGCTGGCTGACTTCAATATTTCTGTACTTACACTTGCTTATCGTTTTCACTGAATTAAGAAGAAATATTTGTTAACATTTATGGCCCAGATAGCTCTGACTCCAGGCCACATTTTTCTGACTGTGTTTATAGCTTGATACCACTAGAAAAAGTGCTATTTTCTAACCTTATCGAATCCATGTGTCAGTGTTCTGTCATGTATCCAGGGTGTTTGCTCATAGGCTGCTGAATGGAGCTGTTAGCGTCCAGCGATGAGCACTGTCAGGTTACCGTTTCCTTGCCCAATAGGTAGCCTGAGTGTAAGGACATGGTGCTGCTGCCAGTTAAGTAGTTTCCATGTGTGGCTGTGTGACAGAAAAGGAGCAGGGTGACAGGACAGTAGTCACTAGGCCCCATTTGTTGTCAAATCCCAGGACCTGAAGGAGAGCGCGCTCAGAGCTAGCTACCCAAGAGCTGGCAGCAGAGGCTGCACGGGGAGCTGCTTAGAATCAAAGACATAGGTGCCTCTTAGCACCTCTGTCAGGTTTGGTTCCATCTGCCTGGCCATGTTCTGCTCTATTGCTTGCAAGTCAGAAGCCCTAGTGCAGCGACTGTAAACCTGGCTGCTGAGTTAGAAATACATGAGGAGCTCTGTAAGCAGCAGTGGGACACCCGAGACTCTATACCACTTGTAATGAATAGTAACCACAGCGACCACTGATCAGGCAGATTCTGAGACTCACAGTGAGGATCTGTAGTTAGTGGCTTTTCTGCCTTTCCGTTCTGTTGTCTTTTTAAAGTGGAATTTATCAATTGGTTGAACCAGTGCCATAGAAGCTATAGAGGCTGATCATAAAAATCCTAATTATAAAAGCAAATGGTGCCTAGCACTGTTCTAAGTGCATTACACATCAACTCTTTTTATCCTAACAATTTTATGAGGAAGGTGTAATCATGATCCATAGTTCATCGATAGTAAGAGTGAGGTACAAAGAAGTTAAGTGATTCACCACAAGTCACGAAGCCAGGAGGCACCATCAAACTGTGCTGCCTTCTAGAGAACACGCAACAAGATGTGTTCTAAAGACCCAGCGTAGCCTTCTCTAGCACACGTACACACGTGTCGTGGATACATACACCTCCGAAAAGCGCCTGCATGGATTCTGTAGGTCAAGGGGGTCTGGGAGTGTAAGCAGCTCCCCGTGCTGCCAGCTCTTGGGTAGCTAGCTCTGAGCGCGCTCTCCTTCAGGCCCTGGGATTTGACAACGAATGGGGCCTAGTGACTACTGTTCTGTCACCCTGCTCCTTTTCTGTCACACAGCCACGCATGGAAACTACTTAACTGGCGGCAGCACCATGTCCTTACACTCAGGCTACCTATTGGGCAAGGAAACGGTAACCTGACAGTGCTCATGGCTGGGTGCTAACAGCTCCACTCAGCCTATGGCAGTAGCTGTTGTCAGTTTCCCTGTACCGTGAAGATCCGTGCTAGCCTTTGCCCAGAAGCCTAACTGAGTTTAATCGTTTCATGGCTTCATTTAACCTTGTAACCTTAGCATCCTGCTGAGGAGCCTCAGAAAAGCAGGGTTTCCTCAGGTATTCCCAGCCACCAAGACAAAAGTCTTGATAAGGGCTCAGCCCTTCCTCCTTAGCCTTCCTGCACTTCCTGGTTCCTCTTACTACTTCCTAATCACATGCCTCTTAACCAGCATCTATCCCAAAAAAAGATAACTATCTCTCTCTTCTGGCCCTGGGCTGTTTCTCACCTGGCTGCGCATAGCTTCATCCTGAAAGTTTTAGAACCTACTAAGGCCTGGGTCTTACCTCCAGAGACACTAGTTTTAATTGGCCCAGGGTGGGACTTGGGCATGGAGATGTTTCTAAAATTCCCCGTTGTTTCCTGATGTGCAGCCAGGGTTGAGACTTGGCTCTTAAGGGGTCCAATGAGTAGGTGTTCCTCTCTTAGCCCACTAGCCTGCAAGTTCTTTCACATGCTCTGGGGCAGTGCTGTCAGTATAGTGGCATGTGAGCCATATAAATAGTTTAAGTTTTTAGTGGCAGGAAACAGGTAGAATTGGTTTTAATAATACACATTATCTAGTATATGTAAAAAGTCATTTCAACATAAAATCAGAATTGAGGTTTGTTTCTCTACAGTTTTAGGAATACTGTGCTATTTTATAGCACATCCCAATTCAGATGAACCACAGTTTATGTGTGGAATGTAGCTCATGGCTGCTGTACTGGACAGGGGAAACACAGGACTTCTGTCATAGCAGAGACTTCCTGTGGACAGTGTGGTTCCAGGGAGTCCTCAAGTTACAAATTGCAGGTTAAGAGATCCTCACAGAGAGCACTGTTTTACTGTGTCAGATGCTGACGGCAGGCCGCTTCACATTCATGCTCATCCACCCCCTCCATTATTGCTTAATAGTTCTTATCTACCCACACAGCCAATCAGGCTAAGTTCAAAAATGAGGTAGGAAAGAGAAAAATCCCCTTTTAGCAGCGTGGTCTGTATCCTGTGTATGTGGAAGGCTCACACAACCTGCCAGGAAAATGGTGGTTGTTGCTCTACCAGTTTGAGGCTTGGGCCCCTCCTCGTCCACTCCATCGAACCTTGTTTTACTGAGTCCCACTTTTAAGCATCTATTGTCATCCATTGGGATTAGTGGCTTCTGATGTCCGAGACGGCTGCCAGCTGTCACTCTGGCTCTGGCTGACCACCACTCACAGTCAGTGACGTTCAGCATCCGTCGCATCTCCTGCTTCCCGCTGAAGAGGTGCACAGCCATGTGGCCAGCGCGCCCGGGCTTCTGGGTGCTGCTAGTCTTACTCTAGCAGTAAGGAGCTGACACAAACAACTGAGATCCGTGGCAGACAGCTACATTACGTCTCCTCTACGGCCATATGTTTTGCAGCTTAGGAAAGCCAGCTTTCCTGCCCACACGCTGGTTTGAGCAGTAGCTATTTTGGGACGGTTCTTAGGAAGGTTGGGCAGGACTTTCGCATCCCGGATACAATCTGCTTTCGCATTATGTGTGAGGAAAATAACTTCCTTTTGGTGATGTGGACGCACTCTTCTGGAGGGGCTTCCACAAGAATGAACTCACGTGTACTTAACATACTGTTGATAGGTACAATTACAATTCTTCAGATAAAACAGAAGAGAGAGCCTGCCTTACTCTTCCTTACCTGAGTACGCCACCCACAGGGACAGGCTTCTCAGGCTCTTCCTTTGTTTTGTTTGTGTTCTGGTGCCGGAGGCATTGAAAAGCATTCAAGTACTGACCAGCCTACTCAAGGAGCTGGGCTGAAGAACTGCTTACTTTGCAGGTGACCAGATGCCCTTGTCTTGGGCACAGGGATGGAGACTTGCTTCTGGTCTCATCTACTGAGTAATTTATCTTAGCATTTTCATGACTCCATCGCCCTTATTTAAAACAGGCTGCAGGCACACAACACTCCTGAGATCTGTATCACTTTCACTCCGTATCACCATAGGTGTGGCAGAAGAAGTTACAACCCTTACTCCCACATGACCAACACCTGGACTCAGTAACCAAACCCCAACTCTCATTGTTGCTTTTTGTTTTTCTCTTTTAAGCCTAACCATGGGACAGCTTTACGAGAAGGAAAAAGATGAAGATGGATTCTTGTATGTGGCCTACAGTGGAGAGAACACTTTTGGCTTCTGAGGGCCAGTGCTGGGCTGGGTGCACCGTTCCTGCTTGTGTATCTTGTAAATAGCCGGCCATTTTCAGTTATGACACCAGAACCTCTTCACATAGACCTTTTAGTGCATTTGTAACTGGATTTATTTCTTAATATATTGGAAGGTTTTGTTTCCTTAGACTAGTAAATTATCATACAGAGTTTTATTTTGAGTTTTTCTTTTTGTGCACTGTCCTCATGGCTACACTCTCCAGGGAACTTGTTCCTCTGGGAATCATATTTAATGAAGATATTTCCATATTGAAGTGAGGTAGGTGGGTTATAAAAGTGAAAGGGAGGGAGATGATACATTTAACCTGGATTATGTTTGAAGTGTTAGATGGCTAAGTATTAAGCATCCAAATTAAATCCTTAGCAATCAGAATACTTGCTTCACTAGATTTTGCCAACTGCCAATCATGTTGGACCGAGCTAATCTGTTCCTCTTTCTGAAACTATTAAGGTAAATAATTAACAATAAAACTTCCTCTTATAAAGGCACTGCCGTGTGACCATGTCCTTTATTCACCCTCAGTCAGATGGGCAGGAAAGGAGGCCTGAGGGCTTGTGGCAGCCCAGCCGGTACAGAAAGCTGCACTTGTGTCATAGGAGGGATTTTTTTTTAATGATTAATAAATTTACCTGGTTTGGATATTAAGCCCTATAACAAGGGTTATGTGGAGAAGTCCTGCTTCCACCACTGTTTTCTGATTACCCTAACCTTCCCTATGGAAAATGACTTTTACTGGCATATTTCTTTTTGATACTTATTTTTGGAAGAATAATTAAGTATGACTATATATCCTTTTTCTTATACAAGAGAAAATATATACTTAAGTGTACTGCTTCATTTATCACTAACATGGTGACCTTTTTCTATCAGCTCGTAGTCCCTTTATTTTTTCATTTTTATAGCAAATAGTATTGCATTGTACAGAGACATTATTATTACTATCCAAGTTCTCTGTTAGAAGTTTATTACTATCCAAGCCCCCTATTAAAGCATCTGGGTGACTTGCAGTCTTTCATTGTTACCTACACTGTCGTAACAGTAGCTGTGTAGATCCAGCTTTCTCTGTGTACCTGCACCCATCAAGGTGCTGCTCTCCAAACATGTTTTCCAAAAAAAACAAGGCTAGACTTTTCCAGGCCCACAAGTTCGTGATTTCACACAAATTAGTACAGGTACGTAGACTTGTCAGCGCACAAATGCTTAATTAAGTTTCCTAAATCTTCCTCATTGTGTTGGAGGCTAAAGCCCTACATGGGTCACTAGAAAGAGGAAATCTGGTTGAACATGGAGTGAAAATTACTTCTTCAGCTTTGTACTGGGGAAACAGACCTTTGGCTTTATTTTACCAAATTACATAAGTAACCCACCAAAAAAAATGCTCTACTGATGTCAGCTCCCCAACTGAGGTGAGAAGAAATATCATTAGCATATTGTCAATCTTTTCCAAACCTGGTCCAGTGAAATCTGATCCTCTTTGCTGGAAAAAGGTGGAAACTGATTTCTGAGTGAGCCTTAGAAAGGAAAGGACAGTTTGTATGTAATGGAATCTTGTTTGCCTACATGAACATTAATTTAGTGCTCACTGCATACCAGATGATAATATATATATATATAAATTTTTTTTTTTACATATATGTTACAATTATACTCTTAAATAAAAGTCCCCATAAAATTGGGTACTCCCCACACCCATCCTGCTAACAAATGCAGAACGGAGATGCCAAACTTGAGCTATCAAAAGACACAGTTAAACTACATGTCACGGCAGACCTGTCTCGCCCGCTGCTCCCCTCTGCAGCATATATAGTAGACCTGCCTGGTATGCTCCCCACTTTGTCACTGATGAATCCTTTCACCCCCACTCCCCCACCTCTGGCTTGCACCCTAGCATAAATAAATAAATCTTAAAACTGTAAGAAAGCTTTATTTGTAATAGCAATCAATACAAATAGATTTGTCAATCTTGCCTTTAAAAGGGAGCGCCTGAGTGAAGATTTTAAGTCAGCATTTAGTGTCCCCCCCCAACTCTCATCCTTTATAAAGCACAGTTAACCCTTAAACTTTCAGAGGTAAGAAAAAGGGAATACTTAGCCCATTCATTTTGAGACTTAGGGAGTCTCAAAACCGTGTAAGAGAAAAATTATAGACACAGATGAAGTAAAAGCTGAAACAACCCAAAACTCATTTATGATTTTAAAAAAAAATCTAACAAATTAGAGAAGGTCCCTTCCTTAATCTGATAAAGGGAACTCATAAGAAATCTACAGCAAATAGGTGCATTATTATCTAATCCCACAGTAAATAAGGCATGGTGGTACTGAGTTGGGACAGTCAAATACACTAATTTAATGAACCCTAAAACAGTTCTGTGTATAGACCATGTCAGAAGTGGCATGGGCCCTCCCAGGCTATGCAAGAGTTTCAGCACTAGGACGCTATCCAAAGTCACTGCAGCATGAGTTCCATTCCTAGCCAAAATAGATTCAGCAAGGAATCATTTTTATTAAAAAGTTTTAAAAATGTAGAACAAGTGTATATATTGTTGACAGACACAATATAATAAAAATAGAAACCATGCAAGGGAATTGCACACAAAATTAGGATGGGGGTTACCTAAGGGAGGATGGGAATGCGATTTGGGGGGTTGTCCGTGTGGATTTCAAACAACTGTGTCTCATTTCTCCAGAAAATAAAAACCTGAGGCAAATATAGCAAAAGGTTTACTGTTGGCCCTCCCTGGTGGCGCAGTGGGTTAAAGCACAGCACTAAGAAGCTAAAACCACTTCCGCATGAGTTCGATCCCCACCTACCCTGGAGGAGATCCACATGGCGCGGCAGACCTCTCCTGACCCGCCCGCTGCTCCCCTCAGCAGTGTACTTCATCAATCTGCCTGTTCTGCTCCCCGCTCTCACTGGTGAATCCTCTCACCCTCCGCATCTCTGGCCTGTACCCCAGTTCTGTATGAATAAATAAATCTTTAAAAAAAAAGGTTTATTGTTAATTATGTGGTGGGTGTTTATTTGTTTTACTGTTTTAAATATTTCATCAATTTTCAAGTTAATTCATTGAGAACAGAGATTGGGTCCTTCTCAACAAGAGCATACGGGCTGTCTCTATTGCTGACGTCCCTTCTCTTCTGGGCCCTGGGAGAGGCCAATGTCTCCTTCAAACCCTGTTTGCTCAGTCATCAGAAATACTTGTCTCCTTATGGGAAGGGCAGGTTTTTAGTTCTTTCTTTCCTTGCCTGTCTTTCTCTTCATACAGCCTACAGTGCACTCCCACCTTCAAGCTCCTAAAGGGTCTTCCTTTGGCTGTTCAATCACACTCATTCCTGAGTTTCTTTACCTCTTCCTGAGCTCTGCTGTGTTCCCCAAGACCGTCCAGGGACCTCTTTTCATTCTAGTACATATTTTCTTGATTTCATCCTAACCCAGGTCTCCAGGCTTTTTATAAATGGCTTCCAATTTCTACCTCCAGCCCATCGCTCTGCTGAGCACCAGACCAGTCTCTCCAAATGCCTACTTAGGTCCGTGTCAATGGTATCACAGAAAGCCCACACTCCCTGTCCCCTGCCTCCAACTCCAGCTCCAAGACCAGCTTTCCTCTCTGCTTGCCCTGGGTAGATGGGGCCACTTTCCATCCTGTGACACGCACAGTGGCAGGGCATACTTCCTCACCCTCATCCTACAGCCTCTCTGTATTTCAGTGGGAGCTCCTCTAATCACCTCAGACATCCTGGCCCATTGCTCTCTGCGCCATCCCCGGCTCTTCCAACCCATCCTCCCTACTACAGAGAGCAGTGCTCTTTCCAATGCACCTTCTATCCCATCACCCCTTTCAGTAAGATAAAATCACTTTTTTAAAATCCACTTTCCTCCTGGTAAGGATGCTTTCTCTTATTTTCTTCCCTATAGAGTTCGAGGTAATTCCAGGATATTTTTGAACTTGACTTGCAATGCTCTTGATAGTAGTGGGACTGTATTATTCTTTGCCCCCATCACTGACCCTAGGTCCCCTATACTTTCTTCCGCCCCATCCCTCGTAGCCTCAGAACCGCTTCACCTAATTCCCACTAGTTTCTATTTTACTGTCAAGTCATCCGCTGTGTAAATGTCCAGTTTGTCTTTGTTATTCTCACCTACTTTACTGCCCACCATTTCCTTGAACTCCCTCCATGCTGCTGTCCACGGCTGCCTTTCTTCTTTGCTTATGGCCAGCAGTTCTCCATCAGCTTCGTGATCAGGCCGCCTTCTGGTGGGCAAGTAGGCTGCTTCCACCTACCAGCTATTGTAAACAGTGTTGCAAACGATTTTCCTCCTGAGGACATCCAATGTGTTGGATGCCCTGGTGTTCCTCCAGCCCTCCAGCCACCAGCCCAGCCATGTGGTGCTCTCACCTCCAGCTTTTGCCTGTAGTATTTCTCTGCCTCACATATGCTTCTCTTTAAGCTGTTGTCACAGGCATCACCGTTTCTCTTGCCTCGCTAACTCTTCTTCCTTCCCAGCACCCTCCCTGCTCAGATGTACCTGGGCTGGTAAAATCTTCCTGTGCTCACACCTCACTCCCAGCCATCCTCACACCATGCAGTTTCACTGCCTGCTCTCCAGAAGGAACCCCCTACGCTTGCTCCTCCGGGGCACAGCACATTGCCTGGCATAGGACCGGTCAACCTGGGGGTAAAAGCCTGCTTGTCAAGGGCTGACACTAAGTCATTATGTGGCAGTAACCAAAACACACAAGGTCCATGAGAAGAGCATGAGGCACCAGGGCACCAGTTCCAAAGGTGGCCTGAGGCTCTCCTTCCAGGTTTGGAAGTAGGTAAGATATATATTTTTATTCTCCAAGGTTTGCTTCTGTTAGAAAAAAAAAAGTCAGCATTGTTTCCCCTTTTCATCTTTATTTCCTCAAGGAAAACAAAACAATTCTGGTGGTTGATATCACGGAGGCAAAGGCACAAAGTTAAGTAGGAGGATCTATATATACACCCCGATGAACAACCTCGCTTGCTCCTCCTTAGCTGCGAGAGACAGGCTGTTGCTTCCAGATGTGGGAGGCAGTGGCGGGCAGGCGTCCAAATGCTGATGACAGGCTCCACAAACATTTGCCCACTGGGCTTCTCCTGAGGATGCTCTCTTAGGCTTAGCCAAAGCTGTGAAAACTGGGACCAGGAAATTGGAAGGTCACTGCTGGGCTGGAGGGAAGGAGCAAGGCTGGTGCTTCCTACGTGCCGGGTACTGTACGTGGGGCAGCTGCCTCCTTCCCCATATTGCACGTTAACTTAGTTCATCCCCACAAACCCAGAAGGGGGTGGAGCTGCCCTCCTGCTCAGGTGAGGATGGAGGTGTATTTACCTAGCCAAGATCACACAACCAGTACACGCAGGAGCCGTGGTGGAGACTCAGGTCTAACACCAAAATCCTCCCTTTGTTCAGCTAGACCAGAGGTTTCCAATGAAAGAGGTCAAGTGAGTGCATAAGTGGCAGTAAT